ACGTGTGTGTGTACCCCTGCATATTCTTGATTGCATTTCTCTCCTGCTCAGGCAAGGATTAAGGGCTTCCCTTGCGCCCTTATCTCAGTCTGATTCTTGTACACTGCATGGTCAAATACAAAGAGGTGAAAGCATTATCTGTGAACCAGGTTATGTTTTCTGCTTCTCCCAGTTGTGTCTCTGTTTTTATCCTTCTCCGCCCATGCGTAGCCTTATTGTCAAGGAAACAGTCTCTGTTGCACATGTGGGGATGGCTAACTGCAGATGAATACAGTGCTGAGAGGGAAATGAGCATGCCCACAGCTGTGATGGATCATGCTTTCTGCCTGCATCTGAGACAGTGCTAAGTGATTGATTAGGAGGGTACATTGTTTATGACACTAAACCTATTCCTCAGATGGGTCCACCGGGAGATTACAGAGAGGCGATTCACCCTAGATTGAGCTACGAAGGTGTAGGCTATTGTTTCACATCTGTGTTTGTGAGATATGGTGATTATTAAAAAAAATGGATGAAATATAAATGCATAAACTGGTTTTGAGGATGATGCAAACCACAGATTTATAGGAGGCATGTATTTGACAGTGCTTTGGTAAGATCTATTGCTGTGTCGCTTTTTATTCTTTGGTTGCATGTGGATGTATCTTCCATTCCATTTTATCTCCCTTTTTATTAGGTGTTATGTTTGCTTTGTGTTTCACCATCCCCGTCTTGTTCATGCCATCTTCACTGTCTCCACTGTTGTTGTGGGTGATCCTCAGTGGTTTGTAGGAGTCATGTGCTCACTGCCTGCTAACTCAGTCAAAGCCTGTCATCTATTCAGTGAATGAAAATTAATGTTCTGCCAACCTGTGAACTGCTTGTTTTGCCTTTCCCCTTCAAGGTCTTATTCTGAAGACATTATCTTGTGAATGTCGCGCCCTTATTTCCATTTGTTTGATCGTTACAGATTCTTGTGTTTGCATCTGTGTTTGGAAACTTACATGTGGAGGGGAAAAAAGTTCACTGCAGGTTTTTTTAATGTAGCTATAACAAAAGTTGCATACCAGCTTTAATTGGGTGCTGCCAACATGAGCAAATGCCCAAGCTCCCAGTGGAGTCTGAGGTATCAAGGATTAGGGCAGAACTCCAGTGCCCAATTTTTAATTTTATTGACCAAGCATGCTCTACAGAAATCCAATTAGATGCGCAACATGTCAGTCTAGAACCACAAGAGGATGCTTTCCGAGCAGAGCTCATTAGACTAACAATATCCCGTCATTTTTCATTTCCAATGAAGTGTGTGTGTATGTGTGTGTGTGTGTGTGTGTGTGTGTGTGTGTGTGTGTCAGATATACTTTCACTAAATGGTTATAAAAGGCATCACTGGGATTTGCCATAACATTTCCATGTAAAATGTTGCTAAGACGTCAGCAACACCCCAGTGCCCCATGTTTATTCTGCCAGCTGTTTATAATACGAGTTTTCAAATATTATCTTGACTTTTGAATTATTTATTCAAATAATTGGAAGATATATAGTTCCCCCTAATAAAAATACTAATCGCCATCATCATTCCCCTGGCATATAGACCAATACATAGATCTCTCATCCTAGACTGAGTGTCAAGTGAAACATGGTTATCTCTGCATGATTTAGAAATTTAGAAAAGTTTTTTGTGCTCCCTCCAACACACTGCTGGCACAAAGGTGATGCTCCTTTGATAAATGCAGTGTGTTGGTTCCTGTCTGTGTGTATTTTCTCTCTTGGTTTTCACCAGGCTTGCCTATGCAATAGTTAAAATTTCTTGAGTCAGTCATGGTCAATGGTGAAGGATCTGTTAATATTATACAGTTGACGGTCACAGACACATTCAGTCAGTATCCAGTGTACTTCATTTAACAAGAAAATACATGCATAAATGGAGTGGCAGATTTCTTTTGTTCTTACTGTAATATGTGAAGAAAAGGTCTGAATTAAAGGCTTGTAACTCAGGTCACTTTTAGTTGTCTCCATGTTTTCTGATTCTTTCTTACTTGATTCTTACTTGTTGGTTCTTTGCTTCCAAAGCACTTCTGGCAGCTCAGTAGGATGTGTGAAAGGCATTTATGCTGCTGCAGTGTAGTAAAACAGTGTTACCTGGGTAGTCACCCGCCTACCACAGAGATGTAGTAACTGTAATAACTATAACACCAAAGTGCCCACTACGTTCGAGCAGTACTGTTGGGTAAAATGAGTTCATCCCATATCATGGTCAGCAACATCAACAGGCAAGTCAGTTTTATTATTGTAGGTTTAAGTTATGTGGCTGTCTGACTTTGTAGACAAACGCGCTGACTGATGGAATTTTTTTAATCAAAAAGCTAAAGATAGTAAACAATAACAGCATATTACTCTGGGGCTGCCGTATTGAAACAGAACTGATGGAATGGTCTGCATTTTTCTGAAGTATGAGGTCACAGCCCAGCATTCCGAGAGTTTGACATTTATAATTTGGATGGAGCCAGTGGCACTGCAAACAATGTACCACAGTCTGCTTGAAGTGACCACATTACAGGCAACATCTAGCCCCACTATAGTCCCGTGTGGCTGACGTATCACTTGTGTGTTTGGCCACGGCCCATTTTGTGTTTATTCAAAGCTATCAATGGACATGTTCAATAAACACAACAGCGGTTGCTAAGTGGTAATATAGCAAAATGGTCTTTGAGACTCTAAAATAGCAGAAATTCAACGCTCAAAGTTCTGGAGAGATCACGTTGCTGTTAGAACAGAGGTTGTAGTCCAAGGAAATAATAGATGCTCAAGGGACACAGTTGAGGATGTTGAATATGAGAATATGAGAAGATGTTAAGAACATGGTTAGCGGTGTGCTCCTCTTGCTCCAATTCCATGAGCCTCTGGATACTCTGGCTCGTATCCCTATCACCACAACATTTCTCTCCCCTACCCCCTTCCCTCCAGTCCCTACCCCCAGGGGCCCTGCAGCCGATACCAAAGAGGCCCACCCTGGAGAAGACCAACGGGGCCGCCACGGCAGTCTTCAACCCCAGCATGTTCCACTATCAGCAGGCTCTGGCTAACATGCAGCTCCAGCAGCCAGCCTTCATCCCTGCAGGTAAGCCAGGCCACCACCGCGTACTCCATGCTCCTCATACGGGGTGGGGTGACCACGTGGCTAATTAGTTGCAATCATTTATCAACCTTACACACTGAAGTATTTCATGTGTATGTAAATAGGAGATCATTTTGTGTGACATGCAAGAGGATAGGAATATTTTCAGATGTGTAACGAATGAGTCCCGTGGTGGTGGGGTGTGATGTTAGGGAGTTGAAGGTGTTGGCCTGTTACCTCTGGTCCCTCCGATGGAGCAGGTGGGTAGTGTGCAGTAACAGTACGGTGGTAGTACATTACTGCAGGGTGGATGGGGACAGCTGCTTCAAAGTGGGCATCAGAGCTGAGGGAACTCATTGTCGTGGCATTGGGAAGGGACACTCCTCTGCTTATTATCTTATTATCTTATTGGTGTGCTGTATGAGGCAGGGATTCTAGCTGGGGATTCTCTCTCTCTCTTGTTTCCATCCTTTGTCACTTTCTTTTACTTTCCTCATCCCTTTTTCAACCCAAGTCATCACCTTGCTCTTTGCATTTGTGTCACGCTGAAAATGTATGTGTTGCAGAGCGATCAGTCTGCAAATGGAGGTGCGCAAATAGGGAGGACCGTTTAGTGCTTCCTCTCATTGAGGGCTCATATATCATGATTCTCATCCTACGCTTCTCCTCATTCTGAATTTTGTAGGAATGCTGGGTACCACTGGTTAGGAGAAATTTATCCTCCCAAGCATCTTGCTCTTAACCTTTTAAACAGTATTAATCATTTTCGAACCTTTGCTCCTGGGGTCTGCATTTCCCAGCTCAGATAATCAGATAGCATTCGCCCTCTGGTAGAGAGATCCTCTGTCAATAAAAGGAAACCACGTCCTCCTCTCCTCCTGTGACATAGAAGTTCATCTTATTCAGCGGCTCTTTTATGGAAGGTGATCACAGCGCTCTGTCCTGTCCCTGATAGCTGGGAAGGAGTCAGTCCCGCAGGATGATAAAGTACAAAGCGGCGGCACTGGCGTGCTGCCTCTCAGATCGCTCCCCCACCTTTGAGAGGCGGTTCTTATCGCCGCGGGCACACTGGAGGTGATGATGACTCGGGCGATACATTGCAGTTACAGATCCCCACTATCGTGTGGGAGGGATGTTAGAGCAGAGCCAAATGCTACAGCTGGAGAAGAAACCCTCTAATCTGTCCCCCCCCCCCTTTATGAGTGACAGAGCCTAACGCTCAGTCTTTAAAACCTGATGCCCTGTGTCCGTTGTCCCTGTGTGCTTGCGGGGGCCGGTGTGGTCTTGTCGTCAGTCTCCGCACGTGACTTATCTTACTTACACACCATTCTCTCCTTTGCACTGACCTCCATGTTGCTTTTGTTTTGCCTCAACATTTTGAACCAATGAAATCCCATCCTCCTTCCTGCCTCTCTGCATGGTGTGGCGGGCTCTATCGTGCGCACGGCGCCCTCTGGAGGCGTCTTTAGGTCTGAACCGTTCCTCGCTGTGTGCGGCCTACAGCTAGCAGTGTCTCGGCTCTGTGCCGGGAATAGGAGGGGAACTGGAGGGCACAGGTCTGTAGACCAAAGATGCTGTCGAGCTACTGAAGACGGGGAGGTCCAGAGCTCAGGGGGAAGGTGTGTTAGGGGTTATCTTTGGGTGATGAAGAGTAGATGATAAACTGGGTGTGGCATCCAGCAAGTGCCCTGGATAAAGGGGACACCACTATGACCTCCACTGTAACATTTCACTCCAGTATGAGCATCACCTTTACTGGCCTGGAAAAAGGATCTATAAAGTATCTAAAGCATTCTCAAGAAACCATTGTCTGACCATTTCTGTCTTTAAATCCCTTTGTTCATTACCTGATTGAGTCTCTGTGAAATGTGTGGCAGTCCATCCACTCGTTTTGCATTCACAACAGGGCAGTGTGGCATAGTGGTTAAGGAGTTGGGCTCGTAACCCAAAAGTTTCATGTTTGATTCCCGGGTGGGCCACAGTTGTTGTACCCCTGGGAAAGGCACTTACCCCACCTTGCCTGAGTAAATACCCAGCTGTATAAATGGTTAACATGTAAGAGTAAAGGGTGGAGTGCTAAGGCAGTATGTGGTATGAAATCAACACGCAGGACACGCAGACAGGCGATCGCTGTCGTCCAATGAGGGAGAGCCCTCATACTGCCCTGTGAATCAGCCGTCTGCTTCCGCATGCAGACTGCAGCCCTTCATGCTGCATGCATAATGCTTGCTTACGTGCTTGTGGTGGAGTTTCAGTTGAGTGCCTGTGTTTGTGTGGTGAGGCACCATGGTGTGTGTGTGTGTGTGTGTTTGCATTTGTCTGGTAAGTCTGTGACGTGTCTGAATGTGCGTGTGTGGTGGTGAGTCTTTCTGCTGGTTGTGTGTGTATGTGCATGTTTACGCGTGAGTGTGTGTGTGTGTTGCGAGTCTTCCTGTTGGTGGTGTGTGGTGGTGAGTCGCTGTGTTTGGTTAGGTGTGGGGTGGTGGGTCTGTGACCCAGGGTTGTTGCAAGGCCAGTCTGTGGTGCAGTGAGGTGTACAGTTGGACAGATCCTTGTCTCTGACTGCGCTCCACCCCCCCTCCCTCCCTCCCTCCCTCCCTCCCTCCCCTGTCTGTTGTAGGCCTGTTGAAAGCCCCCGCCCCACTGGCAGCGGAGGGCCACTGGGAGAGGCGAGACTGGAGCAGCTGCAGGCACCCCCACAGCCGCTTCTTGTCAGTGCCTGGAATTACTGGTGAGGGGAAACCACAGGTCCGTCTTCTCCCCCCAGACACGCTCCTCTGTCCTCTTTTTAACTCTTTCACTGTGGGAGAAACCGCAGGTCTGTCTCCTCCCTAATTCACGCACCCTAGTCTTTCACTTCGGGCCCCTTCCTTGCCAGTCCGTCCTCCTCCCCCCTCTAGTCTTATTGGACTGGGTAACAGGTGTGAGTGGAGCCTCCCTTCTCTGTTAGTCAGAGCTCTTTTGAAGCCCTTCTCTCAGCCCCTTCCCAGATTAGGTCTCTGAAACAGGCCAGAACATCATGGCAGATACCCAGGTGTGTGTGTGTGTGTGTGTGTGTGTGTGTGTGTGTGTGTGTGTGTGTGCGTGCGTGCATGTGCGTACAGGTGGGCATGTATGTTTGCACGTGCGTGTGCATGTGAGCATGTGTGTATGCATGCATGTGTGTAAGTGCATGCATGCTTACTGGAATCTATTATGTCTGTGTCTTCATCAATTTTATTTTTTCATTTTTCTTATGACATTATGCTTTTCAGGCCTCACAGACACAGGAACAAAAAACACATTTAAAACATCTTGACTCTCCAAGTTAAGCATAAGCAGAAATTGCAAGTGTTTTAAAAAAAAGTCAAATTATACCAAATTTTGTGTTCTTGTCTGTGAGATTAACTGAAAAGAGTGATAGTTTGCTTTCATTTTACCCTCTTCAGTCTTCCTCATGATCCTGCCCCATGAGATACTGAACTGTCGGATACCTCAGTCTGACAGGATTTTTTTTTACTGTTATGGATGTGTTCAGCTTTTGACTGATTAAAATTCTAATACATTTTTTCTTGCTTTTTTGGTTCTCTTTTTGTTCATTTGATATTACTGCTCTGTTTTTGGTTTTGTTTTTTAGTAATGTATTGTTAATTTTTTTTTTTTTTTTTTTGCATGTTATCGTCCTGGTTGAAACACATCATGCTGACGGTGTCACATGACTTGTTGCCATACCTCCTCCACCTCCTCCTTCTCCTCCTTCTCCTTCATGTCTCCATGGTTACCATAACAATCCTCCTCCCCTTCGCCCTCCCCACCCCCAACCCCTCCATCCCCTGTCTCTCCTCCGCCTCGTCTGAAAAAAGTTCCCATGATGCACGGTGCCACGCCTTCCACTGTTACGTCGGCCTCGACCCCCGTCACCAATGTTCCTTTTGCCGACACGGCTGCCTCCAATCAGGTTTGCCCCATCATTTTGGCTTCTCTTTGGTGTCAAGCAGCAGGGTCTCCAGCCATGATCCTTAGAGAACCAGCTATCCATTTACTCTCAGGCCAAATGAGGGGAAACTCTGCCCCCTGTAGGGAGAGCTTGGCAGTGACTCAGGTTTTGAGGTAGCATGACCACGAGGGCTATGCCCTTCCCCGGTTTTTGACACCCGCCAGAAGGACAGCTTCAGTTTGGAAGTAAAATGAGATTCATGGACAGCCTATAAAGCAGGCTGGGTTCTCTGGGACTGGTGTTGGGGAGTTGGTGTTTCAGCACAGATGTCAGTGTCTTGCTGTTCTCTACCACTGTCTGTCTTTCTCTGTGAGCTTGTGTCAGTTTCTTTTTTTCTCTGGCCATTGTTTTCTGTTGTCTGACAGGGCACTGTATCTGTGAGGTAGCACTATCCGGCGTCTTTCATGTTCAGCATGTTCAGCTGAAGGTGGAGTGAAACATGGCTTTAAGTGTGCCTGCATTAGTGTTAATCAAGTGTACTGCCTCTCTCACGCTTTCAAAGGACGTTCCTGAGATTTGCCGTTGAGGAATTCTTTGCGTGTCAGTTGGTCAGTGATGCTGGGTGTTCAGAATTCAGGGGCCTTCTTAAAAATGCCACTCACTCCATCTTCATCAGGTGTTCAGTTCCATGCTTTGTCCATCTTTGGAAAAGGGAAGGGAGATCAACTTTGTCTGCAGGGTGTGTTTGCCTTTTGGAAAAAGAAAGGGGTAGGACTATCATTGATACACACTAACAGACTAAAGTAATTACTCACCTCAAAGGTAACTGCTCAATCATCACAAATCATATTATTACACCATGAATGATGTCATACATTCAACCAATCACGAGTCTGATAAACTGTAGATCCTAAACATACCTCCTTGGCATTTTGGTGAACAAGGTCTGGATGGGATTGAGTAGTAGCACAACCCACGCAAGCTTAGCGTCAGTCCAGAGCTGCCAGTGGTGCTTGGGCTCTCTGTGTTTGTAGTTTAGTCCCAGTGGTTCTCAACAACATTCAAGTCAGGTGGCTGTGCTTGAATTGCCTTGGTTTCTATCTATTTAAATGATACTTTAGTGATTTGATTTTATAAACTGCTTTATCAAGGAAATCCTTTTAATATTCTCTTTCACTGTATTTGTGAAATATATTGCGTATAATTTTCCAATTGTCTGTAGATGACCTGAATAATAACGTGTGTATCAGATGCAAACCATGCTATAGAAAAGGTAGCTGTTTTTTAACATATTACTATATTACTGACTGTTAATCACAGGTCTGAATGATTGAAGTTAGTATTTGGAGGAAGGAGTAGGTTTAATATTATTGTAGTTTTTTTGTGTTACAGGCATGACAAAATAATTGGGTTTACATCACTTCATATTGCCTCTGCTTATACAGGAAAATATTTGAATCTTTGAAGCTTCTCTATCTTTGAAGTTCAGAGTGAGAAATATTGATTTTCATGCTTCCCCACCACAAATTCAATCTGTGGCAGTTTTTAGAATTCAGAATTTAAATTTTCTGCCAGTTCTCTGTTCTTTAGTGTTTCTGTGTGTGAGGGAAAGGATAGCGTGCATTTCACTTTCTACAAAACTTACATGATTAAAATCAGACCTAAGTCTGCGGCTCGGGGCTGGTCAGTATGCAGTTTTATCTTCTCACAGTGCCGGTGCTGTACACGGTGGAAATGCAGCTTTGATAAGAACACAACAAAATGGAGGGCTTATCTCGTTATGGAAAGGAGTTCAGCTGGAAAAAAAGTGAAAGGCTTGAAGCATTTGCAGTGTGTCTTTCAGTCTGTGGCTTATAAAACTGTTACAGATGTGTTGGACTTTCGTAAATGACTAGAGAGCTGAGTGGCCTGCATATCCTTCTGCATTACAGGATGTAGCTCCCACCACAGTGAGAGGTTGTGTGTGTTTGTGACGGGTTTTTTTATTATCTCTCTGCATCCAGGTCTTTCACCTTCTCTTTTCCTTTCTCTGTTTTCCAGTAGACCCAGCCGAGGTTCTGAGCGCCGACCTGGTGGAGCTCCAATGCGTCCCCATGGAAACGCACTTCTGCCCCGTCCCCAAACTCCAGGTGGCTTCTCCAGTGGCCCTGAACCCAGTAAGCCTGTCCTGAAACTCCACCTAAAGCACCAACGCCACGCCACCCCACTAATCCACTGACAACATGCGCCCCTCCCTCCAAGAACATACCAGTGACCAGAATGCAGAAGACAACATATGACATGTGCCTACTTTTCATGACATCTCCAGCGGGCAATAGTGTGATCTTATTTCAAAGAAAAAAAAAAAAAAAAACATTATCTGTACAGACCCACCTTTCCCTCACCATATTTACACAGACAATACTGAGCTGGACCCAGGACTGTTATTAAAGTATTTTGATACAAGAAGGCAAAAAATGGGGGCTTGCTGATTGTGGGGGGGGAAAGGTGACAGAGGAAACACAGGGCCCCGTCATACACACTCAACACACGCATACATAGAACCACCCATTGAGAAAAGTGGGCCTCCGCAGAACTCCTGCAGAAACAGAGAGTGAGTCCATGGTTCTCATCACACGCACACACACTGAGGGCCTCAGTGCTGAGATGTGTGTTGTCATGACCCAGCACACGGGAACCTTCACCAGGGATGACAATGGGAAGGGGAGTCCAATGGGAACTGAAAGCAAAAAAAAATAAAAAACAATGTAAGAAGGACAGGACCTCACTGAACTGGACAGGAAGAACAGGATAACAGAAGACAGGAAAACGACAGTCTGCTTTTAACAGCAATTGGAAAAAGATGAAAGTTGGTTAGCAGCATATTTTTATTATTTTGGTCCAAAAACAAAGTTTTTTTTTTAAGTGTTACATTTTGTTTACATTTCACAATAGCCAAGTCAAGAAAAATAGTTGTCTGTTGATTGCAAATAGTTTTCTTTGGGTGGGTGAAAGTTTACATGTTTGAACCTATGGAATTCAGGCCTGGCTACCCCATCTTAAGAGCCAATTGGTTTTTGATGG